CACACACACACACACACACACACACACACACACACACACGCACACACGCAAGCGCACACGCAAATATATAAATGTAAGCAAAGCATGTATTTAAGCAAAACATACTTCTGCCCATGTGTGATTTACAGTCTAACCAATAGGCCAACAACTCAATGAACTGTAACAGTATGGGAATGAATACTGCCTAGAAGCACACAGTGAAAACCTCAACTATTACCTAGAATTAGTGAAGGCAAACTCCTCAGGAAGTGATATTTAAATCATCAAAAAGGCCAGGGCCTTTAATCCCAGCACCCAAGAGCCAGAGGCAGGCAGGGCTCTGTGAGATCAAGGCCAGCCTGAGTTACACAGGGAGTTCCAGGTCAGCTGGAGCTACAGGAAGACCCTGTCTCAAAAAAATAAACAGAAGTAAAGATTAAAAGAAGTAAAATAGGGCCTGGGGAGATGGCTCAGCGGTTAAGAACACTGACTGTTCTTGCAGAAGACCCGGGTTTGAATCCCAGCACCCACATGGCAGCTAACAACTGTTCGAAATTCCAGTTCCAGGGGATCCGACAGCCTCTCTGGCATTGCACAACACATGTGCACTTACCTACATGCAGGCAATACGTACATACACATAAAAATAATAAATAAAATATTTTTTAAAAAAGAAGTAAAATAGGTGACAGGATAAACAAAACACCAAGGGCCCAAAATTGGAATGCAAGTAGCAGAACTTTTTTTCCTGTGTTCAGGATCAAACCCAGGGCCTTGTACGTGTTAGGCAAATTCTCTACCATTGACTTACATTCCCATCCTTGAAAAGATCATTCTACAACTGTTTAAAATATTGAGCAAATTTTCTGTAAGATAGAACCATTATCATTACTGGAGGGCTAAGAAAAGAAACAATGAAGTGATGGAGAATAAAGAATAATTTGGAGATGATATACATATAATAGATTTTAATTAAAGATAAAAAATAAACTATATCCCAAGTTCCTAAATATACTATGTTCTATATTTTATGAGCTTCTGTGTTGTCTCCTATACTTGGAATATTCCCTACCAGTCTCATTTTTTCTGTGTCTCATTCTGTTCCCAGACAAGGTCTCACTCTGCAGCCCATGTGTTAGCCTGGAATTCTTAATATAACATAGTTCAGGTTAGCTCCAAACTTATGGCAATCTTCCCGCCTCAGCTTCCTGAGTGCTTGAATTACAGGCCTGCACCACCATGCCCCCCTAGGTTCTCTTGTTGCCTAGATAATTCTAATTGAACACAGCTCAGAATCTCATCCTCCAGTCCATTTTGTTTCTCTGGTCACAGCACAGATCGCACAGTACTGTAACTGCCTATATCTCCAAATATACTATATACCTTTTTGAAATTTATTTATTTATTTATTTATTTATTTATTTTTGGTCTTTTTGAGACAGGGTCTCCCTGTAGCCCCAGCTGTCCTGGAACTATGTAGACCAGGCTGGCCTTGAACTCACAGAGATCCGCCTGCCTCTGCCTCCCGAGTGCTGGGATTAAAGGCATGTGCCACCACGCCTGGCTATACTACATACTTTATGAGTACAGTTGATTCTATTTGGTTCCTTGCAATATTTTAGTAAAGTACCTATGACAAAGGAAGTACGCAAATAATTATTTCTTTAGGTTTTGGATGGGTAATTAAAAATTTTTTAAAAATTTATTTTAAAAATATTTTATTTATTATTTTTATGTGCATGTGTATTGCCTGCATGTAGGCAAGTGCACCCATGCAGTGCAATGCCCTCGGAGGACAGAAGAGGCCGTCGGATTCCCTGGAACTGGAATTACGGACAGTTGTTGGCTGCCATGTGGGTGCTGGGAATTGGACCTGTGTCCTCTGCAAGAGCAGCCACTGCTCTTAACCGCTGAGTCATCCCTCCAGGCCCTGGATGAGTATTTTTTGGGGAGAGGCTCTTGCTGGAATATGCTGGCCTCAAACTTATCTTCTGCCTCAACCTTCTGAGTGCTGAGATTATAAAGAGGGCCACCACAACTACCTTCTTGTTAGGTTTTAAAAAATAATAGTAATTTTTTTCTTCCTTTTCAAGACAGTCTAATCTCAAAATTATCACTCAAAAAAAATACAGCATGAATAGTGAAATGTTTCTCATCTCTACCAACATTTCACTGAAATGACAGACATTAAATAGAAAAAAATCACATTAGTAATGAATGAAAAAAAAGAAGGGTGCCATTTGGTGGAATAATCAATCTTAAGGACCAGGCTGCCCACAAAGATCCGCCTGTTTCTACCTCCTGAATGCTGGGATTCTACCATCCCTTAAACAATTTCTAAGACACTTAGAGCAGGGCAAGCAAACTACAGCCCAGGGACCAAATCTGGCTGCAGTCTAATTTTATAAATGCTCGCTGGAATACAGCTGCTTGTCCAATTGCATATTCATATTGCATTTGAGGGCTTTTCATGCTACAACCATGGAACTGAATGACTGTGACAGACATTGTGGACCACAAATCCTAAAATATTTATGTTTTAAGGATACTAGGAATTGAACTGAGGGTACCATCATGCTAGTCAGCTAAACCTCACTTCAAACACTAAAATATTTACTATGTGAACTTTACAGGAAACCATTTTTGCTCTAAAATAAAACACCTCTTACAAAAGGTTAGCCAAAAACAAAGGGGGCAGAAAGTACAAAGGCAAAGTCAAGATTAGTGAAATGTATGTACCAAAATTTTAACATCTGTCCAGCAACAATTTCCTACAAAGACAAGGGGAGAGGACATTGTTCTATTAAAGGGCCCCATGAATCCTGGTTGGCCAAACAAAGACCTGTGTTTAGATCTACCTCAGTGAAACTGCAGCACAGCAGGGAGAGAGAAAATCCTAAACATTTCTGGAGAATAAAGCTGAGCACAGCCAGCTAGTTTTGATGTATTTTTTTGTTTGTTTGTTTGTTTTGGAGTACTGGGGAATGGAATCTGGGGCCTCATATATGGAAGGCAAACATTCTAACAGTGTTCCTAATATCCAGCCCCTTTTCTGCAGCTTTTCAAAGGCATGTGCTTATTATATATTTACCAAATTAGAGTCATTTCATCTATAGGTGATTTTTCTGAGACCAAGTCTCTGGTTTTTGTTTGTATAAAGGTTTATTTTTATTTCATGTGTTTAAATGTTTTGTCTGCATGTATATGAAACACATGCCTATGGAGGCCAAAAAGAGGGCGTCAGATCCCCCTGGAACTGGCATTATAGATGGTAGTAATCTGCTATGTGTGTGCTGGAAACTGAACCTGGCTCTTCAAGTGTAGCAAGTGCCCTTAACTGTTAAGCTATCTCTCCAGCCTGTTTTTGTTTTGCGGTGCTGGGGACCAAAACCAGGATCTTTTTACATATGCTAGGTAAACCTAGCACTGAACATGCATCGAGCCACTTATATCCCCAGCTGAGAATAAGTTTCTTTGACAAGAAAATAAACCTCTTTAAGAAACCTAAAGGTATGGAGAGATGGCTCAGTGGTTAAAAGCACTGGCTGCTCCTGCAGAGGACTAGGTTCAGTTCCTAGCACCCACATGGCAGCTAAGAATCATCCATAACTCCATTTCCAAGGATCTGATGCCCTCTTCTGACCTCTGTGGGCACTGCATGCATAGGTGCACTCACATACATGCAGGCAAAACACTCATACACATAGAATAAACATTTTTAAGAAGGGTGCTAGAGCTGGGTATGGTGGTGCACCCCTTTAGTCCTAGCACTTGGGAGGCAGATGCAGGCAGATTTCTGTGAGTTTAAGGCCAGCCTGGTTTACACAGTGAGTTCCAGGCTGGCTGGGCTACAGGGAGGCCCTGTTTCAAAAAGACCGGGGGAAAAAAAATTACAATAAGTAGGGAGAATCTCATTGTACACAGCTTTCTAAACTTAAAAATATGAATACGAAGGGTGCTGGAGAGATGGCTCAGCAGTTAAGAGCACTGACTGATCTTGCAGAGGATCTGGGTTTGGTTCCCAGCACCCACATGACAGTTAATAACCATCCCTAACTCTGGTTTCAGGGGAATCCAACACCCTCTTCTGACCTCTGTGGGCATGAGATGGGTATACTTACATACATGCAGGCAAAATACTATGCATATAAAATTAGTATTTTTTAAAAAGGACCTAATCTGGGGCTGGAGAGATGCCTCAGTGGTTATGAATACTTGCTGTTCTTCCACAGGACCCAGGTTTGGTTCCCAGCACCCACAGGGAAACTAAGAACAGTCCCTAACTATAGTTCCAGGGGAATTTGACTCAACAGGCACTGTGTGGCACGGGTGCACTTATATACACAGCAGGCAATACACTCATACACATAAAATAAAAATAATATAGATAAAACATTAAAAAAAAATTTTTCTTTTTAAAATTAACTCTGATAACAACATGGCTTTAAAAGCTCTGCATAACCCAGCTCCTTCTCCTTTTGCCATCAGGCCCTTCGTCTTGATTGAGGTTTAGCCGTATTTAGTTCCTTGAGTACACCACGCCTTCTTAGCGCTCTGACACTGCATTCTCTCTTCCTTGAATACCAACCCTGATACTCCGATCCCACCTAGCAAACTCCTGATTTTCGGTCTGAATTTCAACACTACTTCTGCTATGTTTTCCCTCACAGATGATAATATTGCAGTGCCCTTTCTCATAAAACCATGTATTTCTCTCTAGTATAGTATTTATTAGAGTATCTTAAGTTTTCTAGCTGCCAGGAACCTATAAACTCCTCATGCACTGACTGTTTTGTTCAATGGTGTCTACTGAGACTCAAGCAAAGTAAGCACTCAAAAGTAATAGCCTAGCCAGGTGTGGTGGCGCACACCTTTAGTCCCAGCACTCAGGAGGCAGAGGTAGGCTGATCTCTGTGAGTTCCAGGCCAGCTGGGACTACAGGGAGACCCTGTCTCAAAAAGAACAACAAAAAAAGGTAATAGCCTTATTTGCCTACATAAAAGAATAGGGATTCACAGCTGTTAACCTCACCACAAACAAACACCATAACTACAGATAGCAAGTGTGCTAGACCAGAAGCACCTACCTTTCTTTGGTGTTTTATCAACGTTAGTTTCCGGAGCTTCAACTTTTTTCCCCAGCCTCTGTGCAAGACTCCGCTTTAACGGGGGATCACTGTCACCACCTACAAAGAGGGGAACTTGTTTAAGATTTTAAAGAGCAAAAAACAGAAGCAAAAATAGACAAAGTAAAATAATTCTGGACATTTTCTGCATTTAACCAGTGTGCTTGTTGAACAGCTTCTCAGAACTCAGTGTTAGAAAAAGCAAGAATGCCCTAGAAAGAAGAAATAAGGGAGAACACAAAAAAAAACTTAAAAGCATGAAAGGTTTACCAAGTAACTGACTAAAATTACAAATAGAGTATCAGATGCCCTAGCTGAAGCTGAAGCTCAGAATTAGCACTGTGAAAAATCTTCACACAAAAAACCACTTCACTGTCAAACACTGAGTTCATATTAAATTCACATGGGATTATAATGAAATAGTAAAATGGGGCTGGAGAGATGGCTCAATGTTTGTTTTTTTTTGGTCTTTTTGAGACAGGGTCTCCCTGTAGCCCCAGCTGTCCTGGAACTATGTAGACCAGGCTAGCCTTGAACTCACAGAGATCCGCCTGCCTCTGCCTCCCAAATGCTGGGACTACAGGTGTGCGCCACCACGCCCGGCTGAGATGGCTCAATGTTAAGAGTCCAGGCTGCTTCTGCAGAGGACGGGAGTTGGATTCCCAGCACCCACATGGAAGCTAACAACTGTCTGTAACTCCAGTTCCAGGTGATCTGACACCCTCTTCTGACCTCCACGGGCACTACACAACATGGTACAATTACATACATGCAGGTATAACACTTATACACATAAAATAGATATTTTAAAAAGAAGAATTTAAAACTTTTAAATTTTCTTGGGATATGAAGACCCTGAAGGCTACACAGCAACTCTTCAATTACAGCTAAGAAATCTAAGGTTCCAGTTAGAGATGTGGGGTAGAGTGCTTGCCTAGTGTCAAGCTCCAGCACTGCATAAACTGGGTATAGTGTCACATGCTTGTAATCCCACATCCAGTAAGTGGAGGCACACTTTTAATCCCAATAGAGGCAACTGGATCTCTCTGAATTTGAGGTCTACATAGCAAGTTGGAACTATACAGCAAGGGGCTTGGAGAGATGGCTCAGCGGTTAAGAACGCTGGTTGTTCTTGCAGAAGACCTGGGTTTGAATCCCAGCACCCACATGGCAGCTAACAACTATCTTTAACTCCAGTCCCAAGGGATCCGATAGACTCTTCTGACCTCCGTCGGCATTGTACAACACATGTGCACTTACCTACATGCAGGCAATACATGCATACACATAAAAAAAAAAATTTTTAAGTTTAAAAAAAAAGAAATATACAGCAAGGCCCTGTCTCAAAATTAACCAAAAATAAAATGAAATTAAAAATTGAAAAAAAAAACCCAAACCCACCAACCAACCAAAAAAATTTACAGTTTAATACAAGATGTTCCAATGACACTAGTTTTTTTGTTGTTGTTGTTTAATATTTCATTACTTGATAGATGGCTCTATGGTTAAAATAGCTCTGTGGCTGCTCCTGCAGAGGACCTGGATTTGGTTCCCAACACCCACATGCCAGCTAACAATTCCAGTTTCAGGGAATCTTCTGACCTCCATGGACACTGCGGGTAGGGAGGGATGCACTTACATTCATGCACATGAAACACTCATACACACAAAACAAAAAACAAACAAACAAAAAAACTTGCAGGGTATGGTGACACAACACCTTTAATCCCAGCACTTGGGAAGCATAGCCAGGCAGATCTCTGTGAGTTCAAGGCCAGCCTGGTCTACATAGTGAATTTTAGGACAGCTGGGGTTACTGGGAGATAATGTTTCAAAAGATAATCAAAAAACTCAATTACACAGAGGATGGTTTTCTTCTTCTTAGTAATTTAAACAGAAATAAGAAATCACAATGTTAACATTTTCATGCATGATGACATTAAATAACTCCCTTCTACTTTTTCCACCCTTAACCTAAAAATTTAAATCAGTTTCATGCAGGCTCAAGACTCACTTCATGGAACCTTCAGTTAACCTGGGCTCTGACTTTATGAGACAATCAAACAGTATGAGAGGGGCTTAGAGAGATGGCTCAGTGGTTAAGAGTACTGACTGTTCTTGTAGAGGACCCAAGTTTGGTTCCCAGCACCTCTATGATGGCTAACCACCATCTCTAACTCTGGATCTAGGGGATCTGACACCCTCTTTCAGCCTCCAGGAGCATCAGGCATGCATATAGTGCATCTATATGCGTGTAGGCAAGCATTCATACACATGAGTAAATCTTAAAACAACAATAAAAAAACCTAGACTTGGCTTGATAATGCAAAACTGTAATTATTAAATCCAGAAGTTTCTAAAAGGTCATGGTCATAATCTAATTAACCTGCAAGAGTTGAAATTGTAGCTTCAATAAAAGGTATAATATATATATGAAAAAAAAAGACATTTTATAAATGTTGTCAGCCAAGAATAAAGGCAGACTGGAAAATCAATACTGATGATACTCTGTATAAAGAGTTGGACAAGGTAACAAGTTAATGCACAAACAAGCAAAAACAAAAGACACCCACACAAAACTGATCTCACCTGTTGAGAATTTTCGTTTCCCTAGTCTTTCAGTAAGACTCAGTCTCACCAAGGGCTCTTCTCCTGAAATGGCAAAAATAAAATTTGTCTACTGTTAGCAAAGTTTTCTGATTTCAGCAAACTAATAAAGTTTGCTCTCTCACATTAGTATGAAACCACCAAAGGGATTTTAAAAATCAGATCTCATCTTTTAACTCCATTTAAAATATAGTAATATATAGTCAAATGTGCAGTCCAAACAAAGCAGAAACACAGTATTTTTCATTTTTTCTTGAGACAGGACTGGCCTGGCCTGGAATTCATTATGTAGACAAGGCTGGCCTTGAACTCACAGAGATCTGCCTGCCTCTGCTTTCTGGGTGCTGGGATTTAAGGCATGTGCCCTATACTCATCAATGTGCCACTCTTATTAACAGCTAAACACAAGGAGAGAGGTTCTGTTCTTAGCAACTAGTTATAAAGCCCAAGCTTATGCACCTTGATAAGTTATTTAACGGCATCACTTGAGCAAATAATCTTTCTTCCACAATTGTTTCTTTAAATGGGACATTTAAATGTACACAACCTCTTATGTCATTCGTCTGTCCATCCATCCATCCATCCATTTATTGTCTTTTTGAGACAGGGTCTCCCTGTAACCCCAGCTGGCCTGGAACTCACTACGTAGACCAGGCTGACTTTAAGCTCACACAGATCCTCCTGCCTCTGCCTGACTGCTGGAACTAAAGGCATGTGCCACCATGCCCAGCTCATCCTTATTAGATTTTAAACTATTTGTAAACAGACTGTCATTTTTCTATTACTCAAAGGGTTTATTAGCATTCTTTTTGTTTTTTTGTTTTGTCTTCTTCAGACAGGGTTTCCCCGTAGCTCCAGCTGGCCTTGAACTCACTATGTAGACCAGGCTGGCCGTGAACTCACAGAGATCTGCCTGCCTCTGCCTCCCATCTGCTAGGAGTGCCAGGATTAAAGGCGTGCACCACCACGGCCAGCTTATTAACATTCTTTACACACAAAGGGCAGTCAATAAACTTGTTGAATGGATATAAAGTAAATGTAAAATTAAATGCATATAAATCCGATACTACTTGAACAAGAACCGACTTTTTAAATAATGTGATCAAATGTACCAACTTTTCATCCTCATATCTGATCAACACATTAAAGTCTTCCTAAAAATCTGACAGAAGAATCACCCAAGGATTTTGGGTTCCCAATTACATAAAACTCTGTCTTACCTTGTTTGCTTGACAGAGTTACTGTCCTCACCACAGTCCGAACATTCTCTTTTTCAGGACCTGGAATGGGCTGAGGCTGATGTGTAACACTGGAAACTCCTGAAGAGGCTTCTGAATAAGAAAAGTCCAACAATAATAAATAAGGAAAGCTAGTATAAGCCAAGAATTGTTGTTTCTGTGGCTGGTTAAGTCCACTGCAGACTACTCTGACTATAATACAATCAGTCTTTCTGCACTTACTGGCCTAAAGTGAGAGGTATAATGGCTAGGGGAGCCTTAGGTACAATGAATAAACATAAAATATAAAACGGCTTTGAGAAACTTAGGCTTTCAACCTTTCATGTGCCAATATAGCTAACACTAAAGTTAAAACAGAAGCACATTTGCCATCATCTTTGTCAGTTGTACTGTTCCCATGTAAATTTAACCACCTGCAAAACAAGGATCCTGTAGAATCAGTTTTAAGGATAGAGTTCTCAGAACTAATCATTTACTATATTTAGCTTATATGTCTCCATATATATAAAATCTTTTTTCTTTTTTTAGCCTTTTGAAATGTGGACTCCCTGCAGCCCCAAGCTCTAAATACACATTTAAAAAATTTTTTATGTGTATAGTCACATGGTCAAAGGAGAGAACTGACTCCTCCCACAAGTTGTGCTCTGACTTCCACAGATATCCCCTCCACAAGTTAATGTTTAAATTAATTAATGTATTTTTCATTTGTTTTTATTTTATATGTATGAGTGTATTGCCTGCGTGTATGTGAGTGCACCAGTGTCATGCAATGCTGTGGAGGTCAGAAGAAGGCTTCGGATTCCCCTGGAACTGGAGTTAAGGATGGTTCACAGCCACCATGTGGGTGTTGGGAATCAAACCCAGGTCCTCTGCAAGAGCAAGTCGGTGTTCTTAACCACTAAGCCATCTCTCCAGCCCCTTACTTTATAATTTTTAAAGAACTCGAAATGCACATCAACTAGTTTGAAGCAACCTCCAGAAGAAAATCCTAGCAGTCCTTAAGGAAGAACTCTTCTTGGACCAAATGAAAATTTTCACTCTTTTGATATGGTTGTGTCTATGTTCATATATGGGCAAGAGGTCAATCTCAGGTATTGTTCCTCAAGAGACAGGGTCTTTTACAAGGGCCTGAGGCACACTGATTAGGCAGTGCTCCCGTCACTGCCTCCCCAGAGCTGGGATTACAAGCAGGCACCACCACATTTGGCTTTTATGTGGGTGCTAGGGTTAGAACTCATGTCCTCATGCTTATGTGGCAAGCAGTTTACTGACTGGGCCACTTCCCTAGTTTCCCTAACATGGCTCATTTTTGAGACAGGATCTCCCTGTAGCCCTAGCTGGCCTGGAACTCACTATGTAGACTAGGCTGGCCTTGAACTCACAGAGATCCGCCTGCCTGTCTCTGAGTGCTGGGACTTGCACTACCACACCTGGCTCCCTAATACAGTTCATATATGAAATTCTTTAGAATTAAGTATCTGAAGACATTCAGGCTTGTTAGAGTCTCTATTATATGTGCTTATCTCTGAACAGTTAGACTGAAACACAGCTACAGTAGACTTGTATTACATTTCAAACTAGTCACAGAAATAAGAATCTGTATTTGTTCATTTGGGCTGCTGCTTATTCATGTCTGGTAGCATGCAACTATTCATGCCAAAACTTGTGATGACTTACCACCTTGCTTCTTCGATTTTTCCTTCATTTTCTTTGATTTAATTTCCTCAAGAGTTTTTATTCCAAAATTCAAACATTCACCTGAGAAACCCAAGGGGAGGAGGGGGAATCATGAGGAACTAGAGCTTTTCATTTTCTGTTTACAGCAGGCATTCAAGTAATGTTTTGAATGAATGACTCTAATAGAAAGCATGTCAGTATATGTGTGTAGCACATACTTCTGCTGGGAAAAGAGGCTAGCAATTGTGAGCTCCATTTCAAAGGTAGTCAGAATGGCCTGGACTCATTCAACAGTGCTGTAAAACTTCGAAACAATACAGCCTCCTCTTCCTACCTTGCTTTAAACCAACTCCAGGTTTCCGGGCAGAAGCCACTCGCAATCCATTATGAACTTCAAGGGTTGGTTGCAATGTAGGTGTTTTGCTTTCATCACCCTCCTCAGAAAACTGATCTGTACATCCACATTAAAGACAAATTTCCAATTAAAAACAGCTCTAAAACTTTAATTTTATTCCTGTCCAATTCATGTTATTTGTCTTAAAAAAATAATAGTAAGAGCTAAAACTTACCATCATCATCTTCATCATCATCTGCAGCATTGATTACAACTGGTGGATGTGTAGGGCTAGGAACATTTTCTGAACTTTCTACTTTCATAACACTCCGCAGCTGAGGGGAGGGATTAGATTGAACAGACAATTTGTTCTGTTGAACTGTTAGCTGGCTAGCCTTTACTTCCTCTTCTGGCGACTCAGGCACAGTGGGTAACACAGCTAAACATACAAATCCAGACATAAAAACAGATAAGAATCACAATTAAAAAAAAAAAATCTCAGTGCTTTTATGATGAATCTTGGTGCATTTTCCTTAAAAATTTATTTTTATTGTCTGTGTATGAGTGTTTTGCCTTTGTCTAAGTAAGTGCACCAAATGCATGCCTGGTGCTATGGGGGCCAGAGGAAGGCATCATATGCCCTGGAAAACAGAGAATGAAACAATTAGTAATGTAATCTGGCAGGACAAGAAACATTTGGTTCCCTCTTTGTATTCATATCATTTAATGTTTATAAGGTTTTGTTTCCTATTTATACAGTGGAAATAATACTGCTCACCCAGACTAATAGCACTATTCTTTTTTTTTTAAATTTTATTTTTATTTTATGTGTATGAATGTTATGCCTACATGTAGGTAAGTGCACCCATGTTGTGCAATGCCCACAGAGGACAGAAGCAGCTGTCAGATCCCCTGGAACTGGAGTTATGAACAGACAGCTGTTAGCCGCCATGTGGGTGCTGGGATCCGAACCTGAGCCTTTTGCAAGAACAGTCAGTGTTCTTAACCACTGAACCATCTCTCCAGCCCCATAGCAACTATTCTTAATTTATTTAAAAAATTTTTATGTATGAGCATTTTGTCTGAATGTATATACATAAGCACACCCACTTAAAAGGGCGTTGGATTCCCTGGAACTGGAGCTAAGGACAGTTGCTAGCCTCCATGTTGAGTGCTAGGAACTGAACCTGGGTTCGCTGCAGGAACAGCCAGTACTCTTAGCCACTGAGTCATCTCTCCAGCATTGCAACTATTCCTTTTATTAAAGTCAAAATCTGATCTCACTTTTGCTTGGAGGTAGGAACAGTCCATCAACATAACGTCCTCTGTTATGATGGAAAGCGCAGTTTAGCTTTTGACATCCCATTGGCTGATTTTCCCAATAACACGGAATTTCACTGCGTTTTTTCTGTAAGAGAGAAAAACATTGCTTTCAAATAGAAAATGAAGACCTGTATTAATACGGTAATTGGTCTTTAAACAGTTTACAGAGTTCAAAAATCTGAGACACAGAGGTTTATTTTTAGCAAAAGAGAGATGTTGATGAGTGACAGTTTAGGTATGGTGGAGAGAGAGAAGGAGTGGTTCCTTTCTCATTACCTTCATCCTGAAACTCCTAAATGCCCACAGTTCCTTTAGAGAAGCAATACAGTAGTATGATCATGGATTATAAGATTCTATCAGCGTTTTCTTTTCTACGCTACTTACCAGCCTTATGACCTTGGATGATTGAATACCTGGTTGGCCTCTTTCCCTGGCTACACAGTATGAATAATTGCAATCTAATTTGTTTTTTTCTGAGAAGTAAATGAAATAATGTATATGAAGCACTTAGTACACAGAACGGACTCAATGAAATATTACTTTTTTTTTTTTGGTCTTTTTGAGACAGGGTCTCCCTGTAGCCCCAGCTGGTCTTGAACTCAGAGATCTGCCTGCCTCTGACTACTATTACTTTTTTTTGGTCTTTTTTTGAAGCAGGGTCTCTCTGTGGCCCCAGCTGTCCTGGAACTCACTATGTAGACCAGGCTGGCCTTGAACTCACAAAGATCCGCCTGCCTCTGCCTCCCGAGTGCTGGGACTACAGGCGTGCACCACCAAGCCCGGCACTATTACTTTTTTTAAAAGTCACCTATAGTAAAAGGCAGGTGTAGTGGTACACCTCTGCAACCCTAGCTCTGAGAGCAAAGGCAGGCAGTTTCTATAGTCTAGCTGAAACATCAAGTTCCAGGTTCAGTGAAAGACCCATCTCAAAAAATAAGGCAGAGCCGGGCATGGTGATGCACGCCTGTAGTCCCAGCACTTGGGAGGCAGAGGCAGGCGGATCTTTGTGAGTTCAAGGCCAGCCTGGTCTACATATTGAGTTCCAGGACAGCTGGGGCTACAAGGAGACCCTGTCTCAAAAAAATCAAAAAAAAAAAAAAGGCAGAGAAGAGATTGAGGAAGACATTGGAACATCAATTTTTGGTCTCTGCACATATCTGTAGGGGTGAGTGTACCTGCTTGCCACATGCAGGCACACATATACCATACACAAATATTTTTTCTTGACTTTTCAAAGTCACATTTGACGTACTAAAGATGGTATATATCACACACTAACACTAGAATGGATACACTGTAGTGTATTTTGACAACAAAATACCATCTAGTGAAGAGGAGTAAACTACTGCTATATTTAATGTTATAGGGAAGAATGAAAGGCAGACTCAGAAGAATATACTGTATGATTCTACTCATGCAAAACTCAAAATAGTCAAAACTTCTCCAGGGCAGAATAATCAGGATAGTGATTAGTTTTGCAAGTGTAGCCAGTGACAATGAAGGGAGACTGAAGAATGTGGGTAATGTGCTACTTCTTGAACTGATTACTTCTGGGATAATTATATTTGCTTTGTGAAATGTTGCCAGGTTGTACCATTATTATTTGTGCACTTTCTTTTTTATTATTTCTAAATTTTATTTATTTTTATGTTTATGTGTGTATTGCCTGCATGTGTATAAGTATTCCCACGGAAGACAGGTGTTGGGTCCCCTGGAACTGGAGTTAAGGATGGTTTGTAGCTGCCATGTGGGTGCTGGGTATTGAACCGGGTCTTCTGCAAGAACAGCTTGTGCTCTTAACCGCTGAGCCATCTCTCCAGTCCCTATTTGTGCATTTTCTATACATACTTTAACAGGTCAATAAAGGTGGGGGAAAAGTCTAAAACACTAGTGTGTCAGCGTTAGCTGTCAACCTGACACACCCGGGTAGAGGGAACCTCAACTGAGGAGTTTCCTCATTGGACTGACCTGTGGTCATGTCTGTGGGGGAATTTTCTTGATTGCTGAATGATGAGGTAGGACCTAGCCCAATGTGGACAGTGCTAACGCAGGGCAGGTGATTCAAAGTTGTATAAGAAAGCAGGCTGGGCACATGCCAAAGGAGCAAGCTGATAAGTAGTGTTCTTCTGTGGTCTGTGCTCCAGGTTCCTGCCTTGGCTTCAACCATTGATGATGGACTGTGCTATAAGCCAAATAAAACCTTTCCCCCCCCAAGTTGGTTTTGGTGTTTTTAATCACAGCAATAGAAAGTAACTAGGATAACCAGTAATTGGAAAATTAAAACTGTATGCTACCTTATGGTATGTAATGAAAGTATTCCTGCTAAATATATACAATCTTATTTTAGTAATGAAGGAATGTTTTACAAAATAGTTGACTGATAACTACCAAAGTGTCAATACCAGTGAAAGGCAAGAAAGACTGAACTGTCTTCCAGTGAATGAGACTAGGGCATCATGACAGCTAAATGCAACATATGAATGTAGACTAGCTCCTTGCATAATGAAAGGCATTATTGAGACAACTGGCAAAACTTGTAAAGGAACCGAAAATTCAGTAGCATTACCAGTGTTACTTTCCATAGCTGTTATCATTGTGCAGGAAAATGCTTTTCTTGCAGGAGAGCCATAAAAGCACTGGGAAGTAGAGATTGTCAGCAATTTAATCCTAAATGGCTTAGAAAAAGGTTTATAATTTTTTCTGAGCTTGCAACTGTTTTAAAACCTAAAAACTTGGGGCTAATGAGATGGCTCAGCAGGTTAAGGCACTTGCTGTCAAGTGCCTCTGTGTCAGGTTGTCCCCTGAATACAAGTATATATACACACACACACATATATCATAAGCCTAGTTTGTCAAGCTGCTTTCTAAAAAATTATACTGATCTGTGCTCTAAAACATTTAGACATTGAGCATTAATGTCAGAAGATTCACTGGATCATTAAAAAAAGAAACTCAGAGGCCAGATGTGGTGGTGGATGCCTTTAATCCCAGTAGAAACAGGAGGATCTCTTTTGAGTTCCAGGCCAGCCTGGTCTACACAGTGAGTTCCAGGCCAGCTGGGGCTATAGGGAGACCCTGTCTCAAAAAGACAAAAACAAAAACCCCCAAACCAACCAAACAAAAAGAAACCCACATTATCATACATAAAATGTAAGTTCTACCTCCTTATTTTAAAAAAATTACATTTATTTATTTATTTGTGTCTGTGTACATGTGCATGCATGCTATGGCAAGCATGTGGAGATCAGAGGAAAACCTGACCATTAGGAACTGGTTCTCTCCTTTCACCATATAGGTTCTGGGGACTGAATGCTGGTTGACAGGCTTGGTGGTAAGCACCTTTACCTGCTGAGCCATCTTGCCGGTCCCTATCTCCATTTTTTTATTAGACCATGATGTCCCTAACTACTCTTATTATATTATGAAAATTGAAAACTTAGGCTGAGCATGATGGTGCACACTTTTAATCTCAGCATTCAGGAGCTGCCTGATTGGCAGGTGGATGAGAAAGAGGCAGGTGGATCTCTCTCTGGGAGTTCAAGACCAGCTTGGTCTACCTAGTGAGTTCCAGGCCAACTGGGGCCACAGGAGACCTTGTCTCAAAAAGACCAAAAAAAGAAAGAAAATTGAAAACTTACATCAATTTCCATATGGCGAAACCTGCACACCTGTCGAAAACAACGCCCTTCTTGCCATAATGTGCAAACAGTTTCATTTCCTAGTGCAGCCTCACAGTGACGAAATGGGCAGCTGTCACCCTGTTAGTAAAAAGCAGAGAAGAACTGTGGCACTGAAATATATCCTAGGTAACACATCCATAGCAAGGAGTGTCCAGGAACCAAGACAAACACAAATCACCAAGCAGAGACAGGCAGGGCAGAAAACAAGATGTGACACCAAAACAGTCTGAAAGCAAAAAATTTACAATATACTATAACCCATTGCCTAGATTTTTTTTTCTTTTTTGAGACAGGGTCTTTCACTAGCCTGCAACTTGCCAAGTAGCCTAGGCTGACTGGTCAGTGAGGTCCAGATCCACAAGACATGATCTCCCTGTACTAGGATACAAGTGTACACCACTATGTCTGGCTTTTTACAATGTGGACTGTGAACTGCTCAGGTTCTCATGCTTGTATGACAAGCACCTGACCAAATAAGCCATCGCTCGGCTCCAACCAATTTTCTTTCTTTCCTTCCTCCCTTTTTGGTTTTTTGAAACAGGGTCTCACTATATAGCCCTGGTGGATGGTCTGGAACGTGCTAAGTAGATCAGGCTGGCCTCAAACTCAGAGATCTACCTGCCCCTGATAAGATTAAACAGCTGGGACTAAAGGCATGTACTACCACACCCCCCTGACCAATTTCTTAACAGTACCCTTCTTCTGATCTGACACAAGCAACACAAATCATAGAAGGGGCTGAAAAAGACAAGGAGTGTCAGGATCCTCTAAAAAATGTATCATGCAGTTCTTCAAAACCGCTTCATATTTCCTGACTTGAATAATTTCTAGCTTTTGAAATTAATTACATTTTTAGAAAGTAAAAAAAAAAAAGCTAATAGAATTTAAGTATAATTAACATATAACTAATACACTTATTGTGTGCTATCTACTTTATTTGAAGTAAAATGCTATTGTGAAAATTTCTAAATGTTAAATGACTATCAGAGCTTTGCTTTTTTATATATGTATTTTTCTTTTGCAATGTAGGACCTGAATCCAGAGCCTCCCTGATGGTAGCAAGTGGTCTATGACTGAGCTATACACAACTGAAAACTTCACCTCCTCTCCTGCTCCATCTTTTTGAGGTAAGGTTTTGCTACAAAGACCAGACTGGTCTTGAATTTTCAATTCTACCTCTGCTACCATGTCTGATTAAACTTATTTTAAACATAGCATCAGAATGATTTAAAACAACAAATTTGCAGAATTAGGCATCAAGAAATGACAGATACATTAAATAGAGCTACCAAAAGTCAAGCAGCAAAATGGAATACTCTGATAGAGAAAATAAAAATCAAAGTTTAAAAAAAAAAAAAGAGCATTTTAAGAAAATTAGCATTATTTTCCTAGCAGTAGGAATTCTATCTGGAATAAGAGGTCAAATTTAACCAGTAACAATTTCTACAAAATGAATAGTGTATTCTTCCTAAATATGTTATTCTTTACTAAAAAACTGACAGCAGATAATAAGCTGTCAAATTACAACATAAACAGTTTAGAATGCAGGGAAAATCTTAGAAAAATTTATTAGAGAAATAGCAAAAAACTGATTCAGAGGTGCCAATTCTTACTTTGGTGCATGTGGAATAGAAAAAAAAATAGCAGTCTTCTCCTTGATTAGGCATGTTGGGTAAATTCTTAGACCAGAAGTGGCTTCTTGAAATAAGCCACTTTTCCTCAAGGCGAAGTCCAGTTCCAAGTGCTCTTGAAACAGATTTAGTCTTCCAAATGACAACTCAATCACAGAAATCGTCTTTAAAATGTAATCCTAAAATGAGGAGATAGTATTTTAGGTAAATTCTCCCAATCTCCACCACCAAATTTCCTAATGTAATCACATTGTTAAAACTAAATTTTAACTATATTAGCACATGCTTATCATGCAGAGCCTTAAAACAAACTAATCATGAATGCTGCATACTATATCTACAATGTGAAATCTTTGTTAAGGACAGCCAAGGTGCCCCCCGCCCCTTTGTATTTTCTGTGGTACTTGCTTCACTTAGTATTGCTAATTAAATGCATGATCTATACTTTAAACAGGACCCAGATTACTTTTTACAAATTCTTGCTAAACATCATTTTTATCTAAATAAAAACATTCAAATATCTTCATAAAGTATTTATTGTATCAAAAGTATATAATTATGCCAGGCATAGTGGCGTACACCTTTGATCCCAGCACTTGGGAGGTAGAGACAGGCAGATCTTTGTGAGTTCAAGGCCAGCTTGGAATACAAAGCGAGTTCCAGGCCAGCTGGGGCTACAGGGAGACCCTGTCTCAAAAAGACCAAAACAAACAACAACAAAAAACCTCACAAAAGTGTATAATTATAACTAAGTAGGAAAATCCTATTTAGGTAAAATAATTAGTAAAACAATTACCTTTGAAAATATCTATAGAGTTAGTTTTTTTACTAAAGACAGCTAAGGAGCAAATGAAGTCTTTAGGGCCAGACCCATAAAAGAGTGACTTAACAGAACAACTAAGATTCTGGCCCCCTAGTCCCTTTCACATTCTGGACCCACACTACAATGGGCAAGAAAGCCTCTATAAAAGCAAGAACACACAGGAGAATGTGGAAGGGTCTCTACAAACTCTCACGCCAGATAAACATTGACCTACCGCTCCAAATCAATTAAGCCCAAGCCAATTTATCTTCCATTGATAACTCCCAATCCAAGAATTGTACATCAAGATGAAAGCCAGCCTTGAAATCAGTAAGTTAGGAGTGAGTGTCTTCAGCTAACTATGTGCCAAAATCATTAAAATTCATATTCCTTTTAACTGAATGATTTCTCTACAATGTGTCCTAAGGTAAAACTGTTCAATAAACATCAAGGTAATAAAACAGAACAAAGTTCACCACTAACTTGCTTCTAACAAGGAAATAACACTTAGAAACCCAAATGTCTAAAACTGGAGACTGGAATGTATCCATTTATACAGCTATAAACATAGTCTGGTGCTCAAAAGTGCAAGATGCTGAAAACAAACAAACACCCACCTAAAAATGTGGACAGAGCTTTGGAATAGAGAGGTGGCCAAGGGTTCTGACATGCTTGACAGAAACAGACTAGAAGTGCTGCTAGAAATCATCATTGAAGGTGCTTCTGAGGAAGCGACTGAAAGCTTGAAAGATGATTTTTTTGCTAACTAAATGCATGACCTACACTTTAAACAGAACCCAGATTACTTTTTACAAAATTCTTGCTAAACATCATTTTTATCTAAATAAAATTGTTACAGTGGAAGAGCATCTGGCCTCCTGAGTGCTGAAATTATAGGCATGTCCACCACACTCAGCTTTTACTTGCTGCTTATAGCAACACACAAGAAAAGGATCTTCTAAGCAAAAGAAACATTCAGAAGTTGAAGATTTAGGAAATTCTCAGCCTATCCATACCACAAAAAGAAAAGAAGGAAAGGAAAACAGAAAGGAGAAAAGAAAAAGGAAAATAAAAAAGAACACGCTCTGCAGAGAACACTTGGGAACTGAAGCCAACCTAGACTACACAGTGAATACCAGGCCAGTTGAGACTACATAGTAAGAAAATACTGTCTCAAAAGCCAAAAATGAAAAAGAAATGGTGGTGAGGATGTGCAGGAGCAAGGATGGTATCTCAACATAAACAAAATGGATGCTAGCAATAGCGACTGCCAGGGTGACAGAATTACAATTATTATTATTTTATGCTCAGAATAACATTAACTTTTCTAATGCAATGTAATAGAGACAAATTTAAGCCCACCTTGATTATAACTGATTGGGAATAACATGGGACAAGGACTGGATTTTTGTTGCTGTTGTTGCTTTGTTTTTTTGACACAGGGTATCCCCTGTAGCCCAGGTTGGCCTTGAACTCAAGAGATGCCTGCTTCTGGTTCTTGAGTACTGGGATTAAAGGTGTGAACCACAATGCCTGGCAAGATTGGACTTTAAAAATATTTGTGAATATGTGTGCATGATCATGTGTTTGAGTGCAGGTGTACACACAAGCTTGAAAACTAGGACAATCTCATTGTAGGTTCATGTTTTCCATCTTGTGTTAGACTAGTGTGTATCTCTGAGTACACCAGGGTAGCTGACCCATGAGCTTCTGGGATTTTCCTGTGTCTGCCTCTGCCTCCCATCTTGCCATAAAGTGGGGTCTTCTTTGATCATAGATCCAAGAATGCAATCTGTATTATAGTAGGTACCAAAGGCAATTTTTAAAGCTGCCTTAAATTGAGGCTAGAGAGGCAGCTCAGCAGTTAAGAGCCCAGGCTACTCTCACAGAGGACCCAAGTTCAGTTCCTGGCATCCACATGGTAGCTAACAATATCTACAACTCCAGTTCCAGGGGGACTGGATGCCTTCATCTGGCATCTGTTGGCATTGCATATACCTGCACTTAATGAAGGAAAACACTCATACACATAAAACAAAAAATTAAAAAAAAAAACAACCAAAAACCCAAAAAAATCCTCAGGGGAAAAAAAAGGCAGGTGAAGCAATGCATGCCTGTTATTTCAGTACCTGGGAGCTAGACGCAGATCACTTCAAGGTCATCCTCAGCTACTTAGTGAGTTGAGGTCATCCTTTGCTATAAGAGACCCTGTTTCAAAGACAAACCAAAACCCAAAACAAAACAAACAAACCCTACTAATAAATTATAAGAAACAACTACTACTTTCTTTTCAGGGAATGAGGGCTCATTTATTCCCAACTGGCCAGGAACTTACTGAGGTGTACTACCACCTCAGGTTTGTGGCACTAGAGATGGAAATCATGGCTTCATGTATGCTAGGCAAGCACTCTCCAACATTCCCAACTCTAGGAACAACTTAACATAAATGCATTTAATCATCAGAAACTACCTGCGTACAGCACAACACAGTACAGCACAGCAGGATAAAACACCAGAGGAGGTTCACCCAATACAAGGAGTATTCCACTACTACTTCAACTCCACTCCAAAATTCTACTATGTGGGAGGGGGAGCAGACAGAAATGAAAAACCCAGTATTTGTAAATTATATGCTTATAAACTAGCAAATTTAACAATCAACTAGAAAGTGATGAAAATACTAAGATATTAAAAAAAGAAACCAGTAAATTTGCTCTGTAACATCAACAATCACTCAGATGGTAACAATTCAGTTAAACTGTAAAAGATGAAGGAAGAAAATGAAGAATGAAAGAGCCACATTAAATACAAAACCAACACTAAGCAGGGCTACTTACAGAAGACCTGGATAATTCATTAGTAACTGGGACAATAGCAATTCAAAGAAATTATTTCCGCCCCCAAATAATGCATACCTTGAATACAATTCAAGTCAAAATACCAATGGAAGTTTTTTCCTGCCATTTGGCAGACTGTAAAATCAACTCTCATTAGTTGAGAAAAATAAAGATAATTTTAAAAGGAAGGGAAAAGAGGCTGGGAAGATGGATCAGGGGTTAAAACACTTGCTGGAAACAGAACAGGAAAACGCACGTAAAATACTAGGCGGGCATAATAGCCCGCTTGTAATTCCAGTCATGGAAGGCTATGAGGGGAGCCCCAGAACAAACTGGCTAGGGAGAAGAACTGAAGACGAATTGTATGAGCAACTCTGGGCTTCACTGACAGACCCTCCCTAAGTGTACAAGGTGGAAGAGTGCTGAAGGATGATTCTCAGCATCAACCCAGGGCCTCCATATGCACGCACATACAAGTATATGCATATAAACACATGCACACTACGATACATACATATGAAAATGAAAAAAGTAAAGAAAATGAATGTAAGGTTTTGTTCTGATAGAGAAATAAGTGGCATTTGAAATTAACAATAAATATGGCCAGCAATTTGAGAAAAATTCTACTTAAAAGTTCCAAGGATGGCAGAGAAGTTTTAGCTCTCTAGTTAAAGTAATGTATTAAGAAACATTCTGGGGCTGGAAAGGTCGCTCAGGGGTTAAGGTCACTTAATGTTCTTCCAGAGGACCAGGGTTTGGTTCCCAGCACCCACATGGTGGCTGCGTTGCCCTCTCCGGCCTTCACAGCTACTTCATACATACCAGTAAACATACAGGCAATCAAATCACTTATATGAATAGAAATTTTTTTAGAAAAAAAGAAAGGAAATAAACATTGTGTTTTGTTTTTGAAACAGGAACTTACTACGTAGCCCTGGATGGCCTGGAACCCACTGGAATCACAAAGATCAGCCTGCCTCCACTTGCCTCTGCCTTCTGAGAGCTGGGTTAAAGGCATGAGCCACCATGCCCAGCCTTAAACATTCTGAATTCCATTTTTTTAAAAATATTTTATTATTTTTATTTTATGTGTATGAGTGTATTGCCGCATGTCACCTGTGTCATGTAATGCCCACGAGGACAGAAGGGGCTGTTGGATCCCCTGGAACTGGAGTTATGGACAGTTGTTAGCTGCCATGTGGGTGCTAGGATTCAAACCTGGGTCTTCTGCAAGAATAACCAGTGTTCTTAACCACTGAGCCATCTCTCCAGCCCAATATTCTGAATTCTTAACTGCACTTAGTAAAACCCACATCTCCCAATGTCTCCCAAACTTGCAAAATGGCTATGCTATAGCCCCAGCTGGCCTGGCACTCGCTATGCAGTCCAGGGTGGCCTCGAACTCACAGAGATTCCCCCTGCTTCTGCCTCCCAAGTACTGGGATTAAAGATATAACTGCATTCTTAAATGGCATGTTTAAAATATATAATCACCCTTATTGAGTGTAAACCTTAGTATTTTTCATAAGCTCAGAGTTTAAAAAAAAAAAAAACACACAAACACAAAAAAACCGTTCCTATAATACCAAAGTAAAAAATTAACAACAGTAACAGAACAACATTTACATTAACAATGATCTATTAGCAACAGGGCTAAAGATTTGGTATCTTTACTAAAAAGGGATATAATCAAGAGTTTCCACAAATAAAGCTCAGTAAATTGTTACAACCCCTTTAGAGAGTAATATAACTATTTCATAAATCTGCATCCAAGAACTAGTTTTAGGTTGACACAGGTGCATGCATAAAACTGATGCCGGGCTTTTGCTTTATAATGGCAAAAACCTCAATGCCTACCAATGAAGCACAGCCATACAATAAACTAAACTACTACTACATAGTCATTAAAAATGACAAGCCAGTCACATATAGAGACAACTACTAGGTAATAAATTTTATCAACAGTGCTTTTTCTCCAAGGAAAGAATTAGAAGAGGATTTCCCCTTGACTCAAAGAAAAAGGAAGTTAGTTTCCACCCCAAAAACTAAAAGTTTGTAAACAATTGTAAGAAAAATGGTCTGAACAGTAGCCTTTTAATTTGTTATTAGCCCAAGAAAAGTACGCCTTACATTACAAAAAATGTTTACTCTTTTAATGTTAAAAGGCCCCTTTCCCCACTTACATTAGCTGGTAGATCTCAACAGGACCATCTGTGTCTTCACTGAGTTCCAAGCTATTACGCCTGTAGGTCGAACCAACACTCAATCCATGAATTAATAATAATGAGGTAGAAAGAATTTTCTTCCTCACATTGCCAAGGAAACCTCTCAGCCACAATTGAAACAGGATGTGTTTTTAAAACATCTTTAGAACATCTCCCAACTCCTGGAAGATTAAGTCCATTTGCATAACCTTTGTCAAACTGGAGACAGCTAGCATTAGTTATCTCCTCAAAAACAAACAAGAAAGTTCACTTAAAGATGAACTTGAGATTCAAAGAATTAAAAAAAAGAATCCATCTTCCATAGCTGAGCAATATATTTAAAAATAAAAAGATGAAAAAAATTTGAAAAAGAGAAAAGAGTAAAAAAGAATAAAAAAGAAAAAAACAAAACAAACAAAAAACCAAAAAACACCACCAAAATTCAGTAAGATCCAATTTCTGGTCTTCAAGATTTCTTCACCTATTAAGAAAAAAACAGAAACCTTCCCCCATCTTTATTATCTGTATAATAAAACCATACTGTTTGTAAAAATACAAAGTGTTTTATGTATATAATATGCATATACATATATACTAACTGGCTTATACACACACAAATGTATAGAAATAAAACATTTGGGTAATTATCCTTTAAAAAAATATAGCATAAGACTTTAGATTTGGGTTCATTATAAAAATAGTAACTTACTTTTATACCAAAGTACCATGAAGTTAATGTTATACTAAATTTTGCCCAGCCATAAAAAGCAAGATGAAGAAAAATTCATGATATATGGATGCATTGATATATATGGCAATGTATATCAATCATTATCAGGGAGCGGTTAACCAGAAAAGGTAGAAACGTATAGTTACAGAGTAGCTACAGAGTGGTGCAGCGAGCTGTAGAAGACAGAGCAGCATTATCGCCATTCTGAAACAGCACTGTCAAAACACAAAAATTCTAAGGGGAGACTTTTTTTCTTCTTTTATATCAACATAAGCATCACTGGCGTGGCATTCAATGCTGGCCCTGCAAAAGCTTGCATATATGCTAGTTCCAAATTCTTTACTACTGATGGTTAGTTACAGCTAAAGACTTCACTCTCCAGTTGGTAAAAGGGTAAATCTGGGGGAGATGAAATTTCACTTTACAATGAATTACCATTTGAGAATTGAAAAAAAAAAAGTTTTAAGTATTTTGATAACACAGAAATGAGTTTTGAAACCAGCCCAGTAATAAAGCAATTTTGATTTGTACGTAATATATACTACATACTTTCTAGGCTAAATCTTGCCAAATACTATCCAAGACAAAACTAAAATCAAGACTTAAAAAAAAGTGGACACCTTTTACTCACACTTAATACTAGTCAATTTTCCAGGAATTTTTTGGGCAGGGAATATCCCCAAATCTAAAATGAAAAAAAGGAAAAATTGGGATCTTACATTAGTTATTCAGTCTGAAACTTCTAATAGACTTAATAAAAGTCATCACTTTCTGGCCTCCCACTCAATCACAGAACAGACTTTCAGAGTGGAAAGGAACCTTGAGGACCACTGAGATTGTTCACTCATTTCACCAATGATTCCTAATACATTAAAATACTGGCTTTATTTTAGTTAAGAATACAGTGGCCAAACTTCATAGTTAAAGATATGATACTATGAAGCATGAAGTATGCTTTTTAAAAAATGACCAAAACTACAGAACTATTCTTTGGGAAATTCATACTGATTTTGCCATGCTCATGGGGCTTGCATTCTAAATCCCATTGGATTTTTAAAAATTTTAAATATTTAATGCTATTTACTAATAAGTTATGCAAAAGAACTATATAGCTTTGCTTTTATGCTATTTTAGAAAAGGTAATTGAAAGACTAATTTTGTTTTGTAATGTTCCCCTTTTATAGAAACCTAATCCTAAATACAAAGGGAAATTCTATGACACCCAGTAATTTGACATTATAAGCTGACCAGTATGAGGAGGCAATTGAGAATTTCCAAATAAGAAAATTTTGTGGGTTTTCTATTTGTCAAGTTATAAGCACCAGGGTTTTTAAAGAATAGGGAGGGTAAAGAAATAACACTAATTCTTCCCCCTTCAAGTCACTGATTTCAGGGTAATCAAACTTCCCATGTTGGGGGACATTTTTACTTCAAACCAAGGACTAGTCCAATCTCCAGCTAGAAACACCTATATTCTTTCAATGCTGCACTATATTTTATCATTAACGCTATCTTTTCTCTTTCAATTGATAAAACATTTTCAGATGTTAGCTATATTGAGCTACAAACTGTGAAATCTGAAAAGTTAACCTTCATTTTATCAACATTCTATTGCTTCTGAAGAACTTTCAACATTTTGTATTTTTATATTTCCCCAGGTTTTTTGTTTTATGAGTTGGGGTCTTAATATGTTGCTCAGGCTGGTCTCAAACTCATGGGCTAAAGTAATCCTCCAGCCTCAGTATCTCAAATAGCTGGGATTAGAGGCACCTGGAACCACACCCAGCTATTTTTAAAGAATTAATAATGACTACATTTAATTATAGCAATAAGGATATAGTAATATAGCAAAAAGTTGCCCATTTTAAGTAGAGTAAGGAAAAAGAAATTAAGGTACTCTTTCTTTTTCATTGTTTTGAGCAGCCTTACTTTCAGGGTCCCAGCTCAGAATCAATGTAGAATAGTCATAGTTAACATTTTCCAAGTTCATTTTCAGAAATATCAGCTGTTCTATATTATCAAAGTCCATGCTCATGACCTGCTTTGGGTGAAAGTGGCTATTTGTGGTAAACAAGCATTCTGATTGCCAACTACACATGGGGCAACTCAGATACTGAATAGCAACTTGGGTCAGAGCTGGCCATGTGCTCACCTTCCTCTGCCAGTAAATCAAAGGGTCATCACCTCCTGAGAGCTCCGAATACTTCTCTTTGAAGTACTCATCCACTATGGCTACAGCAGAAGGGAACAAGAAGCTTTTGCTTCCAATAGCAACACTGTCTGCTGCTGAGCTATCCATGGAACCTGAATTGGAGGTGCCTTCTTTTATAGAAGTAAATGAATCAGTTCCTAATCTAACTAACGGACCAGATGCTTCTGAGTTTGCAATTTGGCAGGCCCCAGGTGAAGAGTCCATATAATTACAAACCTCTTCTGCAAGGATCTGTTTGTAAGTTTCTAAATCAGCACCTTGAGGAAAAAAGTCTTCCAAGCTGTTCTTAAAGCAAGGATCTAACAAAGTAGCCAAGATACAGGGCTTGGATTTGAGCATGGCACTTAGTAGGGCATCAGTTTCAAGTTTCAAAGATAAACTGTCCACCAAATTGAGAGCCTGAGTAATACCTCTGACTTGAAAATCATCTCTGAGTCTCTGCAGGGAAAAGAGGAGATGATGGATGAGGGGTAGCACCTGATTCAATCCTGTGGTCTTTACACTCACTTTCTGGGTGGCCTCCTCAAATGGCTTAAGAATATCACAAACGTATGTCATTAGAGTCCACTGAAGGGAGGTAAGCACAACTCCACTGGCTCTACCAAGGCTATGGTGAACTGAGTAGCAATGCTCCAAGAGCCATTTTAACATATAAAAGGTAGAAATCCAATGACCAGTTTCATCTTGCTTCAAATTTTTCCAGGGAAGCTGGTGATCATTTTGGAACTCCTGTAGTATCTGGCGGGCCTTGACTGAATGGTTAAAATGATGACAGGTTTTCCTAGCAGCCACTAACATATTCTCAATGCTTTTATGCTCACAGAAAAAGTCCTGAATCACTATATTTAAACAATGCAGGAAGCATGGCACATGGGTAAAACCACCACCTTTGATTGCATGTACCACATTAGAAGAATTGTCAGAAACAATGAAGCTAGGGATAAGGAAATTAGGAGAAAGCCATAGACCAATCTGGTCATTTAATTCTTGCAAAATGTTAGTTATCAAACAGTCTTTGGCTAAACCTGTAACACAAAGCACTGCCCACTTTCTAAAATTGGGGATCCCACCATTATTGGGAAAAGATGCAGTTTCCAAAGAGACCCAATGTACAGTCACAATGAAATAGTCAGTGGAAGGGTCATGGGTCCACATGTCAACAGTCAGATGGATCTTTTGGCTTTGAACATTCTCTAACGTTAAGAAAATTTTTTCTCTAACACAGTCATATAACTGAGGTACAGCTTTGGTGAAAAAGAAAGTCTCTGATGGCAATCTATAATCGGGAGCAACAATCTGCAGAAACCTCTGAAAAGCTGGGGTCGAGAAATAGTTGTAAGGATGCATATCCTCCACAATCATTTGAATAATTGCTTGACTTATTTGACTTGAGGCAATATTTTCACAATGTGTTGTTTCTCTCTCTTGTACATGTACCACATTATGTTGCTCTGCAACAGGAACAGGACTCTCAGATCTATTTTCAACCTCTAAAACAGGAGGTTCATCTGTATCAGAGTCACTAAGGTCTTCAGCTGTTAAATCTTGGCTGCCTGAAGACTTCTCTCCATGCAAAGTATCATTCAAGAGATCACTGCTCTCAGTCTCCGTCTCATCTAATCCATTTCCAATAGCACCACTGTCTTTGTTGGCAACAGCCCAATGGATGGGGTGTGTGGCCTGCAGGTGTCTTTGAAGTGTTGAAGTTCCTAAGTGGGAGCCTGGCCTACCCCGGCTCACGCTTCTTTTACATATGTTACACACAGCTCTGGAGATGTGCTGAGGATCAGTGTAAAAAAAATTCCAAACTGCAGATGTCTTGGCTCTGGTTCCAGGAATTAAGGCATGCTTGACAATGTTACTTTTGATGAGAAATCTCCCTCTTTTTGCCCTCAGGGCATCAGTTGCCAATTTATCACGTTTCTCACCCATTCTATTTTCATCTAGCGAATCAGTGGGAATATACTCAAAGCTTCCATTGCTTCCAGGAGAAGAAGGAGATAGAGATATATCCAAGGTAAAGTCCTCTTCCCCATTAGTGACTCCAAACTTGGTGGCCCTGGTCCAGTGAGGTGAATGCCTTGCCTGCAGATGTCGTTGAAGAGTAGATGTACCAAGATGACTGCCTGGTTTACCCCTGCTGACACTCTTCTCACAGAGATTACAAATGGCTCGCCAGGTATACTGAGGGTCAACATGAAAGAAGTGCCATACAATGGAGGTCTTGGCTCTGGTACTAGGTAGATAGATCTGCTTTTCTATATTGCTCTCAAAAAGACCTTCTTCTTCATCTTGCTCAGGGGCACTGGAAGCTAACAAAGCAGGGGCATCTGCAACAGGTCTCCCAGATCCCAGCTCCTTATTAAACTTTTTGGCAAGGACCAATTTTTTTCGGCGCCTTTTCCCCTTAATTCGCAAACCCTTCTTTCTTTTCTTTTTAGTGGGCAATTTTGCCTCTTTATCCACTCCTTCTGCCACCATCTTTCCCTTTACCACATCATCTTCATCTGTATTACTATTAATGGAAACACATCCCAGAATCCCAGAATCACTAAAAGTACTGCATCTTCTGCCAGGAGAGAGTGAGGAAACCGGTACACTTAGAGTACATATACTCATTCTCTTTATGTCTCCAAAATTCATACCAGAACCTGTTAGTGGACTTATTACTCAAGCAGAAATACAGCTGTTCTCTACTTGCATTACCTTTTCTCCAGTTTCTATGGGGAGTCAAATTCCCTTTCAACCAATGACTTCCAAGCCAAGTTATTTTTGGAGGAAAAATGGCAGCAAGGGAGAACATTCCCAAACTCTTCCTTAAAGGGCTTTAGGGTTCCTTTTAACTTCCTGAATCCAAATAGTCCTATGTCCTCATGTTAGAGAAAAAAGAACAGAGGCCCATTTCCTCTTAATCATGGAACTGATGTCTAGCAGCTAAAAGACAGGTCTTCCAAATCTCAGACTCATGTTCTTTCTGCTGTATCAAGAACTATATTTGCTGAAAATACCTTCAGTTCTTAAGATATATATTTTTAATGAATCCTAATCATAGCAACTCTGATTTTTTCCCCTTAATTTTGGGATTTGTTTCAGGAAATTCCATCTAAATATAGTGCATCAGTCAACATTAAGGACTGTGATTTGTCAATACAACCAAAAAAGTTAATTCTGGAAAGCTAAATCAGACTCCACATACTGGTCATTAGCAGTAAATTCTAGTTGGACCCTTTCGGCTCTGACATTTTGAAAAATGTAGGTGGCAGAAAAAAATTATCTGGAAATAAAATTTTAAAACAAGGTAACAAGCTGTATTTTTCATTTACTGCTTATACCAAGAGTTAATATTTTTAGAATGAAGCAACTCTATAAATAACTATAAATGAATCTATAAATGAAGCCTGTAAATAACTCACAGACTGGCATTATATGAACAGTAAAAACTGAAATGAAATTTAAACCACTTCATTCCTTTTCCATTGATCTCTCCCCTTTCCTCAATACCTACACATTTACGCTAAAGAGGGACGACTATCACTAGATACACTGCCTCCTTCTGAAGGTTCAGAAACAAGTCTGGTAGATGTCAACAAAGTGAGCCTTCCCCAATAGAATCCGCACGGGTTATGGGAGCTTACGGGGTGTTCTTCATTACGGTTTCACCAATCCTACAAGAACCAACTGTCCTTGTAGCTCTGGACTCCGACGTTGGGGGTTAAGGGTGGGAGTGTGACCAAGATAGGGAATGGGTGTAGGACACCAGAATTCGATTTTGTAAGAGGAATATGAAAAGTCCGACACAGCAGGGCCCTAGAGGGGAATAGAGTAGATAAACTCAGGTCCTGGCACTCGGTTTGATTTAGGAAAGGAGGGCCGGCCAAATTAGAGAAACTGTTTCCAAGAAGAAAGCAACCTAAAGTCAGCTCCCTCTCCCCGGGTGGGAAACAGACGCCTTTCTGGGGCTGCCCGGGGATACCAGTTCGAGAACACCGGATGTGGGGGAGGGGAGGTTGATAGGGAAGGGAGCAGGCGCCGTGGGGGTGGGGCGGAGCGGGTGGGGGCGGGGAACTGGGAAAGTGAGCGCGAGTCTGGCTCTCAGCCCGTCAGCCGGGGCCTCGGGCTGCAGCTTTGGTCACTGCAGCGCTGAAGGGCCCACCGTTGAGGGCCGGGTTCGGAGTTCCCGGGCTAGGCCGACTCCCGGGCGAGGGGAGGCCGCTGCCACTCCCCTCGCCCTCTCCCCCCTCCCTGGCCCCAAGCCACCCGGGAATCAAAAAACGGGTCTAGTTACCAGAGAACAGAAACTTTACCGAACCGAGGACACTGTCTCTGACCCCCGCCTGCTGCCACGTCTTCCTTCTTTCTTAGCTGCTGCGGCCCGCCGTCCTCACAGCAGCAGAAAAGCAGAAACCCAAGACTGCCAGCGTCAAAGATGGCGTAGGGCGACAGGCTCAGCTCTGAGGCCAAGCCAGTAAAAGTGCCAGCACGACGCAAGTGCAGGCATTCTGGGAGTTGTAGTTTCTTCTCTGAGGCGACGCTTAAGATGGCTTCTTGAGTCACAGGGTCACGTGCCAAGGGAGGTGCTACGACGTGGGCTTTCATCTCTCCCCTGGAATGCTTTTCTGAAAGTTACCTGACTCTTTAATAAAGTTGTGTTGTTTCTATTATAAAATCAAATGAGGTAAGCAAGAAACTGGTCTACCAGGCATCAAGCATTCAATTTGCTTTAATCAAAGTTTGCATAATGAAGAAGTTGTCCAAACGGTATAATTTTAATTAGAAATAAACAAGGACAGGGCGCAGGTTTGTAATTGCAGCACCTAGGGGCAGGAGGAGCAAGAGTTCTCGTTCATTTTCAGCTACGTTCGAGGCCAGCCTGAGTTATATTACTTGAGATTCAAACAAAAATGCCCGGTAAGGTTGAGGATGTACTATAGCTTAGTAGCTTAGTGGTAGAGAATGTAGCTAACATGCTCAAGGCTCTACTTTTGATGCCCAGCAATGCGAGAAAAGAAAATACACTACATTTTTCCCACGCAACAGGGAAAGACTTGTACATTTATTTTTATTTGAGGAAGTGAAATTGGACTTTGGAGGGTGTCAATTTTTTTGTTTATTTATGACCCTTTGAGACAGAAGTCTCTGAAGCCGTAGCCTGGAACTTGCTTTGTAGACCAGGTATCCTCTAACTTTTGGCAATCCCCCTGCCTCTGCTTCTTGAATGCTAGGATTACAGGCATTTGCTATCATTCCTGTCTAGTTTCTTTTCTTTCTTAAAACAAATGTGTGTATTATGCTGGGCATGGTGGCGCAGACCTTTAATCCCAGAACTCAGGGAGGCAGAGGCAGTCGGATTTCTGTGAGTTCAAGGCCAGCCTGGCCTACATAGTTAGTTCCAGGCCAGCTGGGGCTACAGGGAGGCCCTGTCTCAAAAGACTGAAAAAAACAAAAAAATGTGTGTTTTAGAAAAATAATTCATGTTTGTTAAGAAACTCAGACTGGTGAAATGGTTCAGTAAGTAAAGTATTTGCCATGCAAGACTGACAGCTGAGTTAGATACCCAGAATGCATTCCACAAGTTGTCCTCCGACCTTCAAAGGTGCACTGTGGCTGGTGTACCCACCCCCACACATCATACACACAATAATAATAAAAATAAATTTATGAGGGGACCCAGGAATATAGCTCAGTTGGTAGAATGCTTACATGCATAAATCTGAGTTCAGGCCCCAAGTTCGGGGCCTCAGGAAAGGATAGAAGTGAGAGAGGGAGGAATTCTTTAAGGTTGGGAGGCAAGAGGGGAAATTATGAACAATTGCCTCTCTTTCATTATTCACATTATTCTGTATTCTCCCTTTTGAATGCTTTACTTTGGGGAAAAAAAAAACCTAAGTAACAACTATTTACTTTTTAAAAAAGTTTTGTGTATTATTTTCATTTTATATGTATGCATGTATTGCCTGCATGGAGGTCAGAAGAGGCTGTCGGATCCCCTAGGACTGGGGTTATGGACAGTTGTTAGCTGCTAGGATTTGAGCCCAGTTCTTCAGCAAGAACAACCAGTGTTCTTAACCGCTGAGCCATCTCTCCAGCCCCCCCCCTTTTTTTTTTTTTGGTGTTTTTGAGACAGCCCCAGCTGGCCTGGAACTTGCTATGTAGACCATGCTGGTCTTGAACTCACAGAGATACATCTGCCTCTGCCTCCCGAGTGCCTCTGGATCCCGAGTGCTGGGATTAAAGGCATGCACCACCATGCCTGGCTAGTAACAACTATTTAGAGTAGGAAGTTAAAATCTCTTTTCTGGAAAATAATCTATTAATTTAGCATCTATCCTACACATGCAATTTTTTATATAAATATTACACTGTTGTAATAGGAGTCCAAAATGCCCCTGGGTGAGTGGATCTACAGACAAACCTTGCTTAGGAGGCAACATTTTATCTAATTTGGATAGGGGATACAGTTCTGTGGTGGAGAAAGGATACACCTGGTGATAAGGCGTGCAGAACAGAAACTCAAACCCCAGGCTGCAATGCTTTTAAGACCTTACCTTGGAAATGACATGCCACTACTGTTCTGTAGTCTATTGATGACACTGACATAATATGGGAGGGGACTAAACAAGGGCCTGATAATAACAGAAGGCAAAGGTCATTGGGATCTATCTCATGGGGCTTGCTACCATACTAGATATTAATGATGATGCAGTCCACCATTTAAAATTATATGAGTGGAGCTGAAGAGATGGCTCAGCAGTTAAGAGCATGTACTGCTCTTTCAGGGGACCAGAGTTTGGTTCCCAGCACCCACGTCAGGCTGCTCACCCGTAACTCCAACTCCAGGGTATCTGGCTGGTGAGGACACACACACACAAACACACACACACACAGTTAAAATTTTTTTTAATGTTTAAACTGTACACGTATGAAAAATTGTCCAGAGAGTGGCTCTGGCCCTATGCATTTCAAACTTTACCTTTCTCCACAATGTCCATTCTTCTGGTATTAGATGCTAAAGGTCAGGTTTGTTTTTTGTTTTTTTTTGTCTTTTTGAGACAGGGTCTCCCTGTAGCCCCAGCTGTCCTGGAACTCACTATGTAGACCAGGCTGGCCTTGAACTCACAAAGATCCACCTGCCTCTGCCTCCCAAGTGCTGGGATTAAAGGTGTGTGCCACCACGCCCGGCAAAGGTCAGGTTTTTATCAAGATATGAAGCGTCTGGGAGATGGATCAGCAGGTAAAAGCACCTGCCACTGAGCTGGTATCCTCATAAAAAGCTTCAGCGGCAAGCATCTGTAATCCCAGCATTTCTTTTTTTTTTTTTTTTCAAATTTATTTAGCTGGGTGTGGTGGTGAATGCCTTTAATTCCAGCACTCAGGAGGCAGAGGCAAGTGGATCTCTGCGAATTTGAGGCAGCCATCCTGGTCTACATAGTGAGTTCCAGGCCAGCTGGGGCTACAGGGGGACCCTGTCTCAAAAAGACCAAAAATTTATTTATTGAATTAATTACTTATTAATTTATTAATTATTATTATTAATGTGTATGAGTGTATTGCCTACATGTATCTAAGGGTACTCGTGTCATGCAGTGCCCATGGAGATCAGAAGAGGTAGTTGGATTCCCTGGAACTGGGACTGTTGTTAGCCATCATGTGGGTGCTAGAATTCGAACCCAGGTCCTGAACAAGAGCAGTTAGTGCTCTTAACCTCTGAGCCACCTCTTCAGCCTCAGTCCCAGCATTTCTACGGCAGGATGGGAAGTGGAAACAAGAGAAGTACCCGAGGTTCACAGGCCAGCTCGCTTGCCATATAGAAACAAGACAGACACTGCCTCCAACAAGGTAGATGGTGGGGGCTGGAGAGATGGCTCAGCACTTAAGAGTTTCTACTGTTCTCACAGACAACCCAAATTTAGTCCCCAGCACCCGTGTCAGTACCTAGCACCTACATCAGGCAGCTCACAACTGATTATAACTCTAGCTCTAAGGGATCTGACATACTTTTCTGGACTCCAGGGGCAGCACCTGCACTCACACATGCAAAACCCATACCTATACACAGACACACACATATACACATAATTTAAAATAAAATAAATCTTAAAAAAAAACAACAATAAGGTAACAAGGCCAACCTGGTCTGTATACCAAGTTCTAGGCCAGCTGGGGTTACAGGGAGATCCTGTCTCATAAAGACCAAAAAACCAAAACAAGGTAGAAGGCTAGAACTGACTCTTGAAAGTTGTCCCTTCCCTTCCCTCTCCCTTACACACTTACACACATAAATAAATAATTTTTTGAGCCTGGCATGGTGATGCACACCTATAATTCCAGCACTCAGGAGGTAGTGGCAGGAAGATTACTACAAGTTTAGACCAGCCTCATCTATGTAGTAAGTACCAGACCAGCCAGAGCTACATAGTGAGACCTTGTCTCAAAAACCAAAACAGGGCATCCGGTCTTACAACTCTGAGTCATAATGACAGAAGAATCCCCACAGTAGCATTAAGATGATCTTGAAAGCTTTGTTGGGTTTTATTTTGCTATTTAAAAAAAATTTTTTTTCAGCTGGGCACAGTGGCACACACCTTTAATCCCAGCACTCGGGAGGCAGAGGCAGGTGGATCTCTGTGAGTTCGAGGCCAGCCTGATCTCCATAGTGAATCCAGGACAGCTCGGGCTACTGGGAGACCTTGTCTCAAAAAGACTAAAAAATTAAAAATTAAAAAATTAAAAAAAAATTTTTAATTTAGTTTTGTGTATGAGTGCCTGCATGTATGTAAGTGCACCCTTGAATGTTGTGCAGTGCCTGTAGAGGACAGAAGAGGGCATCAGAGCCCCTGGAACCGGAGTGACAGATAGTTGTTTGTACCATGTTGGTGCTGGGACTCAAACCCAGGACCTCTACAAGACTGATGAGCTATCTCTCCAGCCCCATCTGCTATTGTTTTTTGAGACAGAGTCTCACTGGTTAGCTCAGGCTGACCTTGAACTAGTGATCCTCTTAACTCAGCTTCTCAGCTGCTTTAATTACAGGTCTGTACATCTGATCTTCACCTATAGTTAGAGAACTGTCCTAGGTAGGCATTGAAGAATTTTAAATTGGCCTATGTTTCTTGTCCACATAAAACTCAGAGCTTTTCTGGAAGACATGATAAATATAAAGATAAATACCAGGGGCAATGTACACTGAAGTGTCAAGCCATAGTTTAGGCCCGAAATTTCAAACTCAGATTCTTATTTTGTCTTTTTTTTTTTTTTTTCCAGAGCTGAGGACC